CTAATGCTACCAGCAAAATGTACATATTAATCTGCTCCAGTGTGAGGGGATGGATTGTTAACGATAATGATAAAGATCATGTAGGGTGAATTTGGGCAAAAAAAGACATTTTATTTAATCGATAAAATTGACTGGGGGGAGAAGGTACGGGTCAACATCCAGTTAGGCAATCCTTAACTTCTCCAAATACCACTCTTTGTGAGCCCTGACCTGATGTCCTACTTCCACCTATAACGTAATCGAATATGTGCTTGAAGCAGCCACTTCTCGATTTAAGAGAGGAAGCTCCGTTTTTAAGAGTTGTAGTCCGTTTTGCAGCAATGAAAAAAAAAATCAATGTCTGGAGAATGTTAAACAGAACTTGGACGGAGTGATCCAAAAGAAGCCATCCTTCTGTGAAATATTGGCACACTGAAGTTCGACTTTTTGTTTGAAACACAAGAAAATGTCTCTCTCCTGAATGAAAAAGTGCATTAGTCCCGAGCTCACATATGTACAGTACAAACACAGCAGCATAATGTAGCACACACACAAATACAACGGTACTGTACATCAGTTCTTTCTCTTCTGATCACTTGTTATTGATCGTGCAGTACTTCAACTTCCGGCACCAACACTTTAGTTTCCACTTTGTCTGTAATTATGGAGAGCATCTCTAAGATAAGATAGACCTTTATTGATCTCACAATGGAGATATGTACACGTTACATTTGAACTCACTAAAATCCCTCGGGCTGTTCAAATAAACAGGAAATGAACAGTTAAAAAGTAAAAGAATAGGATTTACAATAGAGGTACTGTATCGTATTTGCAGCTAAAAATCATGGGCTAAGTTGTATACATAAAAACCCTGGTGTCTCTTTTATCACACATGGCCTGCCGTTCCATATGCAGCCTTTCAAACCCACTTTCGTTTCCACTAAAACACTGTGGAGCGTAAAATATGACAGCTTAAGTCTTGTTTACGCAGCTGAACGCCTCAATCAAACCGTAATCAGCAGGAACCGCAACGAGATTTGGAGAAAAATCTGATTTAATTTCAGAGATTTGTGCAGGAATTACACAGCAATTAAGTCAGGGAAAGGAGGAGGTAGTCCTGAGAGCCGGAGGGGAGATTAAGTAGAAGCAGTAGAAGTAAAAGCAGTGGGAGGGAAAGTAGCAGTATCAGTAGCAATAGTAGTGATAATAATCGCCCAAAAAAGTGCCGGTACTTTTTTTTTTTCACCCAGGATAATGTTTGTATGTTTTTAATGCAAGAGAATGCACTTTGAAGTTTTATTAACATCTGTCAACGGACTACCTTAAAGAAAATAATATATCAATTATATACATTCATTTAGGATATACTGGAGCTAGAAAAGCTTGCTTCAGAGCAACTGAAATAAATTAAAAATGCAAAATGGTAGTGAAAGAATGTTGAACAAAAGGTCGTTGACATTAGATCCACACACACAGCACTTGTATCTAACCGGGAGGACTGGGAGGTTTGACACTGATTCTGACGTTTTTTCTTTAATTAATTCTCGTGTTTTAATATTTACTGTCTATGGTCTGACGACACCAGCCCACAGAGACCATGGGGACACACATACATTGGTTCTCTAGGCCGTACTGTCCTCTACACATAAACCACACAGCGAGAGCATCAGTGTAGTTCAGGGGTCTCCAACCTGTAGCTTGGTAGCTACCAGTAGCTCACCAGCTTCTTTCAGGCAGCTACCCAAAGGATTTAGAATTAACACAGCGCAGGAGATAGAGTGAGTGCCAAGCGAGCAGAGTTTGTGACAATATAGAAAGTGTGGATTTATAGAAAACTGACGGATTTAACAAGAAAAAAACTTCAGGACGACAAGGGACACACCCTGTGCTCGTGGGTGGGAAAGAAATAAGCTAGTAATACCCTATCCAGTTATTATTATAGATCCATGCAATTGGCAGACATCTTAGAGAGACACTTTAGCACAGACATCTTGGAGAGACCAGGGGCAGACATCTAGGAGAGACCGGGGCAGACATCTTGGAGAGACCTGGTGCAGACATCTTGGAGAGACCTGGTGCAGACATCTTGGATAGACCTGGTGCAGACATCTTGGAGAGACCTGGTGCAGACATCTTGGATAGACCTGGTGCAGACATCTTGGAGAGACCTGGTGCAGACATCTTGGATAGACCTGGTGCAGACATCTTGGAGAGACCTGGTGCAGACATCTTGGAGAGACCTGGTGCAGACATCTTGGAGAGACCAGGGGCAGACATCTTGGAGAGATCGGGACAGACATCTTGGAGAGACCTGGTGCAGACATCTTGGAGAGACCTGGTGCAGACATCTTGGAGAGACCAGGGGCAGACATCTTGGAGAGATCGGGACAGACATCTTGGAGAGACCTGGTGCAGACATCTTGGAGAGACCGGGGCAGACATCTTGGAGAAACCTGGTGCAGACATCTTGGACAGACCGGGGCAGACATCTTGGAGAAACCTGGTGCAGACATCTTGGACAGACCGGGGCAGATATCTTGGAGAAACCTGGGGATATAGTTGATCCAATAGCACACATTTCAGCACGGGCCTCCGTGTCCTTGAGCCCATTGATTTGTCTTCACATTTATTCAAAGCAAACATTAATATTCTTGTCACCATCGCTGCCTCACACACGTCCACATCAGCCCTTGAGCCCTGGACCAGGAGATAAGAAGGAGACAACGCAACACTTACCCGGATTTGCAGCTGAAACAGAATAAAACACACATGCATTATTCATGGCTACAGGCCATTTTCTTTTCACAAATTATTCAATTCCATTTTGTTTTGTATCGTCCTAAATCACAACAGTTGTTATCTCTGGAAACGTTACTGATTCGGCAACACAGAGAATAAAACATTCAAACTCAAGAAATACAATAAATAACGTGAGAAGCAGCTGACCAATGCCCATGAATGTTGATAGATGTCCATGAATTAATGATTCTAACCAATTTAACTGATATAACTACATTGAGAAGCATATAACGCCTGCATCTGATTTTTGTTTCTAGTGCAGATAAACATAAGAGAACGTATGTGAACCTAGCTCTATTCATTTTCTTCCCCTTTATCCGGAGCTGGGTGGTCGTGAAAGCAGCAGTCTCACTCCTCTCTGCTGTCGTTGGTAGAGACGAGTGACCAAGCGTTAATCAGAAGTCTGTCCTTTCTGTGCTGTAATTAAGTCATCTTTATTTATATTGCGCATTTCACAGCTCAAGGCCAGGCAAAGTGCTCTGCAATGTTTTGGTTTAACAGTCTCTCTCCACACACAGACGACGGCCCCTGACTATCACCGTCTGTTCTTTCTCTCATTACATTCAGACTTATTATACTTGTATTTAGCTGTTGAGGAAGCTTATGCAGACACAGGGAGAACATGCAAACTCCACACAGAAATACCTGGAGGGACACATTCAGCGACAGAGCTGACAGTCAGTTGTTCAAGAGCATATCTGGATTTAGACACTAAAGACAATTGTCCTCATTTATGAAACTTTCGCTGAAAAGGGTGAACATTTTGGATGTATATTCCAAATACACAAGATCCAACGTGTGAGATCCGCCCAGATCCGAGCGTAAGCTCCTGCTGCTGACGATAAATGCCGCACTGAAAACGAGTGTAGTAATGAAAGTCACGCCTATAAATATGCAGCAACCGCCTGTTTCACGCCCCATTTTTATGACAGGTCAGAATGGAAGTTGGCCAGGAAGACTATTTGGAAGCCTCAAAAGGCCTGTGACACGCACTCCTGAGTTTATTCATGTTTGTTTAAAAATAAATATATTTACGCCTTTTTTCCCTAGAACTGTGATTTATTCGAAGTTTGCGTGTTTCAATTAGTTATTTTCTGATACTCAATGAAAACGCAGCTTATAATTTTTCCAGAGTGGGGATATGTTCATTGTTGTCCAAATCTTGAATTTCATGCATGTTTTGGCGTGTTGTGATGAAGGTTGAGATGAGCGTACACATTTACACCACCTTCAGATTCGGCGTATATTTTTGCGTACCGTACACTCACGTCCAGATTTATAAATGCCAAAAAGTGTTACATTTTTGCGTACGCCTTATTTACATCCTGATTTGGCCGTACGCAAGTTTCATAAATGAGGGCCAATATGAATATAATCTGGAAAGACTCAAGCAAAAGATACATCAGAATCAAGAAGAAGACGAGGAAGAAGAAGAGCTGCGTCACAAACAGCAGCTTGATGCTGGGACTGGAAGGCTCTGACGCAGCTGAGGCTGATGTGAAGAGCTCTGAGCAGATCAGGACTCAGAGAGGAGGTGAGAGACGGAGCGCTGAGACCGTCATCCAGGAGCAGATCTCTGCCTCAATATGGGTCTCAAGAAAAACGAGATTTCTCATTGTATTTAGAGTTATTCTTTGCTGATGCAAGACAGTGGTGATGATCCAGGATACACGACATCCAATGACATTTATGTATGTGTTTATTATCATAGCATTTCCTTTGTTTGAACCGTTTGATTCTCTGATCTGTGTTATTGAATCGAAAGCTCTGTAAAGTCCTCAAATATAACTGCTGGTGTGATTTAGGGCTTTAGGAGAATAAATTTAATTGAAAAGAGGGTCTGTATTTCTCCTTTAACTGCAAAATAAAAACAGCAGGATCTTAGAGACTGGACCATGACTCACTCACTCACACTCTGGGGCTCGTGCCGTTCCACACTTCCATTTTTCAAACAAAATAAAACGCTCAGAGAGTTTAAATACAGTTTTGTTTGAAGAGTCCAGGTCTAGTCCAGGTTCAGACCCAGTTATTGACCCATAAAGCCAGACCAGTTCCATAGACCCCTTTGACGAAAACATACATATAAAATATATGTATGTATGACAAAGAGGTCCTGGTGGATTCCTGGTCGCTGGACACTCATTGACAGTTGGTTCATCATCTGATTGAGATGCAGCTCGCGCCCCGTCTGCGTCAGAGAATGTGCAGAAACCAGCGCCTTGATGTTTCACACTGGTCCAAAGCGAGAGGAACCAAATGCCCCCAAACCATTATCCTGCTTCCTGATTGGCTCATCATTATTCTCCTCTGCGTTCGCTCTCACAGAAGGACGAGAGGTGAGCGAGGAGGCCGCGGGGTTAAGTGGAGCTGACCCCGACCTGCAGAGGACTGAGGTCTGCTACTGTCTGAGAGGGGCACGGGACGATTGAGGAAAGACCGAATTATTGTACGGAGACTGATGGAAAAATCATCTTTAACTTTTCAATTCAATTCCATGTATTTGTGTATAGTCCCACATCACAACTGCAGGCGTCCCGGAGGACTTTACAAAGTTGGTGATTCTCCGACCACAGAGAGAATCAGTTTGAGCGCACGAAAATGCAATAATAACAAACACATTGGAGCCTTTGGTCCATAGGAGGCAGGATGACTGGACCAGGACCAGGACTGAGGCTGTAGATCCAGGACTGAGGCTGTAGATCCAGGACTGAGGCTGTAGATCCAGGACTGAGGCTGTAAATCCAGGACTGAAGCAGTAGATCCAGGGCTGAGGCTGTAGATCCAGGACTGAGGCTGTAAATCCAGGACTGAAGCAGTAGATCCAGGGCTGAGGCTGTAGATCCAGGACTGAGGCTGTGGATCCAGGACTGAGGCTGTAGACCCAGGACTGAGGCTGTAGACCCAGGACTGAGGTGGCTTCCAGGCGGGGAGTTTATACTCTGATATTGTCTTAGTAAACCCTGATATGAGCCAGGGTAACTCACAGGGAAACTCCAAGCTTACCATAGCAACCGTCTTAGCAACACATGTCCATATAAGTAATTTGTCATCAGCTAGCTTAGTTTCAAGTCAGCCTCTTTCGCATTAGGGCTAACACTTTGATGACGTCGCACTCATGTCAGTAATCTCCTTAGCTACAGTCTATAGTGTGTCCTGGGTCCCACCCGACTCTGGTCCCTCGCCACCTGCCCAAGATGGTGGCTCCTCTGTTTGGCTCGTGTGGAGGTCTCACAGATGGTTTGAAGCTGACGCAGAGAGACTTCGACAGCTGATCCTTCCCACGGGACGCAGGTGGTACTCCCCCTCCTCCACAGACCCGCTGACGTCGCATCGGGCTGTTTCATAATATGTTAGAGTTATGCCAAGATATTAAATATTTACAATTCTGATACATTTTGCCTCTTACAGCGGAAAGAGTCAGATTAAGAGATCCTTTATTATTATTGTATTCCCTACTATTGTTTCTATCTTGTTTACTTCAGCACTTTGAGTTAGTTGCCTTGCGTATGAAGTGTGCGATACAAGTAAACTAGCCTTGCCTTAAGTAACTAAGTAAGTAATCTTTATGTATATACCGCCTTTCACAGACCAGAGTCACAAAGCGGTTTACGATCCTCTCAGTCCACACAGAGATGTGATCGGGGTCGCCGGTACAGAAGGTGCATGGCAGACCTTATTCGTCCCACAGAGGGGAAATGTCAGTGTTGCATCACCACTTACAGAACAGTAGGAATGAGGAGCACACGGCACATGAGAAGTGAACAAGAACTCTATACAATCTAATAAAAAAGCAAGTATAGAAAGAAGGAGACCAGAGAGAGAGGCTGGAGAGAGACCAGAGAGACACCAGAAAGAGGCTAGAGAGAGACCAGTGAGAGCCCAGAGAGAGAGGCTAGAGAGAGACCAGAGGGAACAATAGTCAAACAAAGTGAACGACTAGATTCCAGAAATCTTGAGCTTCACAATTAGGTCAGGTTAAAGCTGGATTACCTCAAAATTCAATCCATATCCATGCAGTGGATTGGGAGATATGTCCTTTTGAAGAATAGGTAGCACTGGTTTATACTGGAGTGTTATTTTATTTTCGGGGAACGCGGAAGAGAATTTGTTTTGGGGCTAGATTTTGACCAATCAGACTGGACCACTGGCCCCCACTTTCTTGTCTCTCGTTAGCACAGACAGCTGAGTGTGGGAGGGGAGCAGAAAGAGCGAGGGCAGCGCTTACATTTGAAACTGCTGCTCCAAAGTCAAAAAGTGAGTTAGTCCAGCTTTAAAATGAAGATATCCTTTTTATTGTCCCACAGTGGGGAAATTTCAGTGTTACATCGCCAGTTAGAGAACAGTAGGAATGAGGAAAGGCACATTTAAAGGGCGAGCTCTAAACTCACATCACCACAACTGCATCCAAGTTTGTTTGCTTACAATTTTCAGTTGCTATACATTACCGCGGCAACACACTAGCCCAAAGAGAGGACTTCAGCTCAACAACAAGAGAGCGAGAAGTCTTCATCGCTTTATTTCTTCAACAAGGACCTGCAAAAGGAGCCAGATGTCCTCAGAGAAGAAGCACAAACAACAGAGAGAGAGCACAGAATCTACCAGGACACTTTGCTCTCCTTCCTCTGTCCCCCGGGCCATCACCTCAAAAACCAAAATGGCCGCCAAAGTGGAACAATTGTCGTCTGCGATGCGACATCTCACCATGAAAGACAAGCTTCCAACTCAAAACTGGTTCTTTAGGTCTCGGATCCAACCAGGCTACGTCCTCAACCATCAGGACCCACCAGACCATGAGGAACCAGCACCAAAGACTGTACACCAGAAATGTGGAGAAATTCTGTAAATGCAGAAGTACCAGGTGGATGGGAACCGGACTGAGAGAGCACCTGAGACGCTGGAGGATGGTGGTGAAGTGTCATGGCCAGCAGAGGGAGGTGACCCTACAGCCCCAGTCCTGCAGCCGGCTCCAGTCCCAGTGGGTGAGGAGAGTCTCATACATGGTCCCTCTCATGGGGCGATAGGGTCTGTGTCTATAAAACTGATGTACAACCCTCACTTTGCTCTGACTCTAGTAGTAATTGTACTGAATACTTATGTTTTCACAGATTACTGCGGCTAAAAGATAGATTAAGACAGTGGAGAAATGTCAGTGTTGCATCGCTAGTTACAGAACAGTAGGAATGAGGAGCACACAGCACAAGATAAGTGAACATTAATCTCAGAATTTATCATCGTAAAGAAGCAAGTGCAAAATCTATAGCTTTAGCGTAATAAAGAATTAGGGATGTACCGAATCCAGATTTTTGGGGTTCGGCCGAATACTGAATCCACTGGTTAAGATTCTGCAGAATCCAAAACCGAATACCAAATCCTATTCCATCCTCAGTCCATTAATGTTTCATACGCAAATGTTTTAACAGCGGCGATGTTTAGGGTCCTTACCACCACGAGACAAATCTGCATTGCAAATTGGACATGTAGCTTTACCAGAATCTATTATTATAACATTAATAATAATCACAATTATCATTAAACACAAATACATTCAGCTCACAGCAGTGTAAAACTTCAGTGATAAAGTACACATATTACTGTGCATGTCATGTAGAGATAAGAGCTAAAGCACCATACATGCGTAAATAGCTTCCACTGGTTCAGGTCAAAACATTATATAAATGGACATTTGAGAAATATGCCAAACTCGTACAATGAGACAAGTTGGAGAGAAGCCAATGCTAAGAGGCTAGTTGCCTAAACATGGACTCACCAACTCTGCTTCTACAGTCATACGCAGCTCAGATGATACTGGTAATCGGCTCCATAAAGTTGGTGAATAGGCAGATACAGGTGAAAACAAAAATCAGAACATACCTCGAGCAGACCTACACTCCTCGCACCGGCATATAACTAGAGCTAATTGGACCGCGGCGATCACATGACCAGGAAGAGCCCTCAGTGTGCAGCACCCAAAGAGCAACAGAGAGCAAGATGATAGAAACCTCCGCTAAAGTGCACGTTTATTTACACTTCCGGACGAATCTGGTTTCCGTGACGAATCCAACAGCCACAGCGCGCGTAGTGTAAGTGCAGGGTTTGGGTTCGGTGGAGAAAAATTCTAAGGTTCGGCCAGAAATCGAACCCCGGAATCCTGGATACGGTACATCCCTATAAAGAATCAAGTTTAAAATACTGTATATTCTAACGCATACACATGTTGTATGTTTACATCAGTACATGTTAGCAGCATGAGGGTGTGGGACACAGCGACAGTGACACATGGTTCTATATTGTACATTCTGACTTTATTCAGATATTCAACAGATGCATGACATGTGAGAGAGCTGTCTCGACTTGTCTCAATATCGCTAATGAAAGTCCTTGAGTTGTATTTAGTTATTTCAAATTAAGATCTAGTTTTAGTGATACTTCTGCTAGGAGACGAGGAGGCAAAGGTCAAACAGGAAGTGCTGCTCATCCATTGTTAGAAAGCCGATCGACCAATCAAAGCAGTATTGCAATCTCTACCACCAAACATTCACAAGGCAAGGCAAGGCAAGTTTATTAGTATAGCACAATTCATACACAAGGCAACTCAAAGTGCTGAACAAAACAAGAAAGCATTAAAATCATAAATAATCACAGAACATTAAAAAGGAAGATAAAAATATAAAATCAGTTGTATGCACAGCTAAACAGAACCGTTTTTAACCTGGTTTTAAACATTGTCAGAGAGGAGGCCTGTCTCACATCTTCAGGAAGACTGTTCCAGATTTTAGCAGCATGAATTTGAAAAGCAGCCTCCCCATGTTTAGTTCTGACCCTGGGCACTAACAGGAGTCCAGTCCCTGTGCTCCTCAGAGTCCAGGCTGGTTCATATGGGACTAACATGTCACTAATATCACAGTATCTTGTCTGATGTGTCTTGCCTAAGCACACAACCAGTGTGGCACTTTACAGCCGCCCCAGTCTGGCAGCTGTTGTTCCCGGAGGTCTTCCATCACAGTACTAACCAGGCCCTGTCCTGCTTAGCTTCAGAGGTCTGACAGGATTCCCATGCAGGTATATTTAACGTAAGAATGCATATTTGTCCAGATGTAATGCAATCTATATGTCATACAGAAGAATAATTAAAGCACGGGAATCTTCCTGTCATTGTGACGCAGAATTCACCGATTGTTGTGGGTCAATTCATTCACTACATTCCACGTTGAAGATCTTTCTTTGGGACAAATATGTATTTCTAAGGTAGATAAAGTTACGTCTCCCAGCTTTAAACTAAGGCTGTATCCTGCTCCGGTGCAGCCCTCTCTCCACCAGGCCCTGAGTGCTGCACCATCATCACTGCAGCAGGATCAATCTTCTTTGCGTCGCTGGAAAGCGTTGCCGTGGAAACCACAGCGACCGCACGTGCAACTCTGAGACCGAAGAGTCCGAGTGCCTCCTGACGGCCAGCGTTCACACCGCACCACGAACACATAGACCCCTTCAATTCAATGTATTCTTGTATCGCCCAAAATCACAATAACAGTTTACTTTAGAATGGGCTGGAAAACACAAGGCCTACAGTAAGTAGCTCTGAAACAGTTGTTGTTATGTGCTTTACCATTTTTATTTGTATTGCTTTTTTCTGCCTGAGATGTTGCTGCAGTACAGTGTTCATGGTTTTACACCGGTCCAGACCAGAGCAGAGAGGATTCATGGTCCAAACCAAGTGGATCAGGTGAAAATCCACTGGAGGAATGCTAACTTTTTGAAAAATGCTAATGAAGCATTTAGCTTTTTACTTTGGACTAGAGCAGAGAAAATGGTATGAACCAAGCGGCTACTCCACCTTTTGACCTGTCCTGCTCCACCCAGAGGCTACTCCACCTCTGCTGCTGTGGCCTGAAGGGCTGTTGCTGATTATTAATATTTTTAAATTTTTAGAATGATCAATTTTCATTAAAGTATCTATTTATCTATCTTAGAGGACTTCAGAATCATTCAATTTCTTGTTTCAAAAATGGAAAGAAGAAAAAGTTCTGGACTTAGTTTTTCAATGTGCTTGTCAGAAACTGGAATGAATGAACGCAAGGTACACTGACCAAATGCAATGAAAACCCATTGGTCCTGTCCTTGTGTGGATTATTTGTTAATTATGTAAGGGTAAAATAAGTACCCGCTTCGCCCTGTCGGTACGTATTTTCCGATAATGACCTGCGTAATATACGTTATCCCGCTTATTATACGGCTTTATACCAACAGAACACACAACATAAACTTCAGTCCACTTTTAGGAATGCCGAAAAGTTTATTTAATGACAGAAAATAAAATAGTTCCCAAAGGTTTTCCCGTGGCTATGCTAGCAACAGTTAGGCTGGCAACTTCCAAACTAGAACTCTCTGGAACTGCATGAAAACTGAACAAAGAGTTCTGAACATCAGCGGTGAGTGACCCAAACATAAACCTAACCTAAATCCATAATTCGATCCTCTGCAAATGTGTCCAAAAATGTGCCGGTATCTTAAAATGTGCCGGTATCTACTTCCGTGCACTTGTATTAAGACTGGATATGTATAAATTACTCTCCGATTAACATTTCATTGCGTTGATTGATTGGCATTTGCGTTTATTGAGCGGCCGGAACTACTTCCGGGTTTTTCACGATCGCTTTTTGACGCAGAGAAATTGTATTTTTGTCATGAAGACAGGACCAGAAAATTCTGAAAATGTCCGTGCACGTGTGTGAAGAATGTATATGTATAAGTATTCTCCGATTAACATTTAAGTGTGTTGATTGAGCGTGGCTAGCTCCGGAGTGGCCGGAACTACTTGCGGAGTTATCCAGGCATTTGAAAGACAAGCAGAGAGTGCGTTGCCATGGGCAGCGGTCATTATTGTTTTGAGAGGTCCGTTATAGAAAATAATGACCGGTAGAACGTTTGGAAATTACATTCAAATCAATGGAGCATTCTACTGCTGCTGTGAGGAGCCGTATAATAAATGTTATTATATGTTATTATTTTGACATTATTCCTCTGTTTCCCTGTTGAAGGCTACCACGAGGGCACCACGTCATGAGCTTTTATTAAACCTACACAGACATGGAACGCGACACTACAATAACCACAAACCCTATAAACGACATTAGTCGCCTCACATTGGAGTTTCGTGAGAGGGACCGTGCCACTATTGCAGACCTCCGTAAAGAAGTCCTTCGCCTCACTGCAGAACTACAGGAAAAACAATTACTCGTGTCCAAACTCTTTGATGTCGCTGGCGGGCAGCACTCACGACTTATGTCACTGAGCGCTGCATACTGTGACACTGTCGTGTGGGAGAGGTCTGTCAGCTCTGGACCCTCCTGTTCTACACCTAAGCGCCCGGTTCCGAATGAGGAACCCGCGAACTGCGAGGAGCCATCCAGCGCCGTGGCCCATGTCCTGAGCCTGTCAAACCGCTATGCAGCCCTCTCCTCTGACATCCCAGCCCCCTCAGCAGAACCTCTGGACTCTGCAGCGTACTCTGCCGTTCGTGGATCTAAGTCCACTGCGAGAAAAACGCTCCTAAAGGAAGCCGTCCTCAGACGAAAGAGTGGTCATTCCCCTTCTCTGACCCCAGTGCATCACCACCGCTTACCTTCACCGGGTCAACAGCAGCGACCCGAGCCTGCTCCTCACGCCGCTCCAGCGTCCCCGAGCACACAGCGTGGGTTGCCCGGAGCTGAGAATCAACACCCCCGCTCCCCTCCATGTGTTCAGCAGCGCCCTGGTTCGGACTCATCCCTGGATGAGCCCGCTGGTTCTGGCCATGGACACCGAGCGCCCTCTCTGCGGCTACGTCCACTCTTCGCCCCGACTACTTTGATTGTTGGAGATTCCATCGTGAGACACGTCCGCTTTTTTAACGCGGTCACTCAGTGTTTTCCCGGAGCTACTGTGCCAGACCTGCTCATCCGTCTCCCTCCTCTGCTTCAGTCCCTGCCTGATACCATTTCAAAGGTAATCGTGCATGTGGGGATCAACGACATGAAGCTGCAGCAGTCCGAGGTCACAAAGAAGCATTTTATGGATCTATTCCGCCTTCTCCAGTCCTCCGGGTTGTGTGTTTTTATCTCTGGTCCAGTCCCGACTGTAAACCGGGGAGACTGCTTGTACAGTCGCGTAGTGGCGCTGAACATGTGGCTCCAGTCTGCATGTAGCTCGTTTAACTTTATTTTGTGAATAACTTTGGCCTTTTCTGGAAGCGTCACGTGGCTTATCGTCCAGACGGTCTGCACCCAAATAGATATGGCACCAGCTTGTTGACGGATTACTTACGCCACGTTATTCAGTGTTCCCCGAGGGGGGCGTGACTGTTTACATCGGAGCCCCCACCACCACCACCCTCCTCCTTCTTCTCCTGCTCACCAGCACCGGGTGAGTACTGTGGTGCAAACACTGACCCCTTTCCGTCTGGCAGTGAAATAACAGTCTCGCCTCTGAACCGTGCTGCCTCCTGCTCTAAACAACGAAGCAATGCCGTCCTGAATCCGGGACTTACACAGCAAAAGAGTTCACATGTTAGACAAATAGAAACTGTGTGTGTTCCTCGCATCAGTTTCAAAAAATGTTTTTATTTGAATGGAAAACAAAATCATAACAGAAGGACAGCAGTTAGACATTCAAATCTAATTCCTGCTCCTTGTAAAAATCAATTAACTAAACCCACTGTTACTGATATTAATTTTAAAATTGCTATGCTTAATGTCAGATCACTGTGCAACAAATCATTTTTAATTAATAATTTTATCCGTTCTTATGATCTTGATTTTATGTTTCTGACTGAAACTTGGCTTGACCAGAGTACAGGTAATGCGGTTTTAATAGAAGCAACGCCACCAAACTTCAAATTTGAATCTGAAATACGAGAAAATAAAAGGGGGGGAGGCATTGCTGCATTATTTAGAGATCGTATTATCTCTCATAGAATTCTCCTTGGAAATTTTCTATCATTTGAGTATATTTCTTTTAAAATAGAACAAAAACAATCTCCTTCTATTCTTATCATTGTCCTGTACAAGCCACCGCAGTCTTGTCACAATTTCTTTGATAATTTCACTGAGTTGCTTTCAGTTGTTTGCACCGATTTTGATAGTTTAGTGATTACAGGTGATTTTAATATTCATGTGGATAATGGCAATGACAAAAATGCAAAAGAGCTGAGTTCTGTACTTGAAACATTTGGTCTCACTCAGCACGTGAGTGGCCCCACCCACAGCAAAGGGCACACTCTAGACCTGCTGGTTACAAAGGGGGTTAATATTTTAAATGTAAATGTGGTTGACGTGGCTCTGTCAGATCACTTCTGTGTATTTTTTGACATGTGTTTTGATAGTAAACAACCATATATATCTGAATCTGCAATTGTCAGACACAGACACATAAATGAAAACACAACCGAACTATTCATGGGAAATGATAAACTTTGAGAACACATTGTGTTCTACTGTTGACGAATTGTTTAACTCTGTCACCGCCAATGTTATAAATGTTCTGGACATCATCGCTCCTGTGAAGGTTAAAATGATTACAAATAAGCCAAAGGCCCCCTGGACTAAAATGGACTCAGTCATGGTACAGAAGAGAGAGTGCCCGTAGGGCCGAGCGGAAGTGGCGAAAATCCAATCTCCAGGTTGATCATGATATCTTCAAAAATGAGTTGTGCAAGTTTAACAGGGTGCTACGTAGAACAAGAGAAATTTATTTTTCTAAAACCATTGATGGCTGCAATAATAATCTACGACTTATGTTTTCAACAGTTAACAGATTAACAAACCCCCCTGTTCAGCTGCCATTCGAATTTGCTTCAGAATCTAAATGTAATGAGTTTGCACAATTTTTCAATGACAAGGTTCAGAGCATCAAAAACGCCATCACCTCTAAGGCAGAAATAACATTACAACAGCCGGTGAGGCTGTTTGAGCTATCGCACTTTGCACCAACAGATAATGAAACGGTCCAAGATGTTGTCTCTAGCCTTAGTTCCTCCACATGTAGCCTGGATGTACTACCCACTAAATTTTTTAAGTCTGTTTTGAGCAGTCTTTTACCTTTGCTCACACAAATAGTGAACATGTCTTTCTCATCTGGAACATTTCCAATGGCCCTGAAAACGGCAGTCATCAGACCCCTCCTAAAAAAGAGGAGTCCTAGATGCCACAGTTCTTAAGAATTATCGCCCCATTTCAAATCTGCCGTTTATGGGAAAAATTCTGGAAAAAGTTGCTTACCAACAACTTACAGAATTCTTAGTAACTAATAGTTCGTTTGATGCGCTCCAGTCCGGCTTTAGAGCCAATCACAGCACTGAGACTGCACTAGTGAAGGTTATAAATGACATCCGACTTAACACCGACACAGGAAAAGTCACAGTTTTAGTAATGTTGGATCTGAGTGCTGCGTTCGACACAGTCGACCACGAGATCCTCATGCAGAGACTAGAGCACTGGCATGGGTGTCTCTCTATGCTCTCTCTCTCTGCTCTCTAAGTTCCGCTCCCTCTTTGGTCCCTCTCAGGTCTCTCTTTGGCCTAATCTATCAGGTCTCTCTCTCTGGTCCCTCTGTGCTCTCTCTCAGCTCTCTCTCTGATCTCTCTCTGGTCTCCTCTGGTCCCTCTGTGCTCTCTCTCTGCTCTTTCTCTGATCTCTCTCTAGTCTCTCTCTGGTCCCTCTGTGCTCTCTCTCTGCTCTTTCTCTGATCTCTCTCTGGTCTCTCTCTGGTCCCTCTGTGCTCTCTCTTCGATCTCCCTCCGGTCTCTCTCTGATGTCTCTCATTATCTATTTTATAATGTATTGCAAAAATGCCTTCTTTCCCGTTGAGTTGTTATAGAACCTATCCCCTGTGTTCAGTCCCACAGAGATCATTTCGGTCTCAATGTTTTTACCTTCATTAAGAGAAAGTAAATGCATATTGTTGTGAAATGTGAGAAAAGACACAGAGACAAGATAATCCTGGGTTTGTGTTTATCCCAGTCCTTCTTCTCTGTAAAGTTCTGCCGTTGTATCGTTGCAGCACGGCGTACGTGATCGGCGGCGTGATCTCCTTCACGCTGGTGGTGGCGGTGGGAGTGAGGATCGCCTTCAGTAAAGTGGCTCGAAGACCAAGGAACAGGGACAACAACGTGCCCAGGTCAGACTCCAACACACACCACCTGGCCTCTCTCTCTGGTCTCTCTCTGCTCTCTAGTCTCTCTCTCTCTGCTCCCTCTCTGGTCTCTTTCTAGTCTCTCTGCTCTCTCTCTGGTCCCTCTGCTCTCTCTCTGCTCTCTCTCTGATCTCTCTCTGCTCTCTCTGGTCTCTCTCTGGTCCCTCTGCTCTCTCTCTGCTCTCTCTCTGGTCTCTCTCTGCTCTCTCTGGTCTCTCTCTCTCTGGTGTCTCTCTCTGCTTTGCTCTCTTCTCTGCTCTCTCTGTGTTCTCTCTCTTTCTCTCTGCTCACTCTCTGCTCTATCTCTGTGGTCTCTCTCTCTGGTCTCTCTATGCTCTTTCTCTGCTCTCTTCCTGCTTTCTTTCTGATCTATTTCTCTCTCTGCTCTCTCTCTCTCTCGCTCTCTCTCTGCTCTCCACTCTTTTACTCAGAGTCTGTGCCTTTGGGGAGTGTAATTCCCTGCTGACAAAGGCTATAATATCATTCATGCATTCATTTATCTCATTGTTTCGCAACAGTGTCATTCTGTTGTTGTCGCTCTGTTTCTGTGTGTGGTCTCTGGACATCCTGAGGCACCAGCCCTGTGCAGCTGGTCTCTCTCCAGTCTCTTTCTGGTCTCTCTCTGGTCACTTTAATGTTTCTCTTTCTGATCTCTCTCTCTCTCTCTGGTCTCTCTCATGTTTCTCTTTCTGATCTCTCTCTCTCTGGTCTCTCTCATGTTTCTCTTTCTGATCTCTCTCTAGTCTCTCTCTGGTATTTCTCAGGATCTTTTTAGTCTAAATCTGGTCTCTCATGGGTCTCTCTCTCTAGTCTCTCTCAGGTCTCTCTCTCATTGGTCCCTCTCAGGTCTCTCGTTGGTCTCTTTCATTTATTCACTTATTGGTCTGTCAGGTCTCTCTCAGGTCTCTCTCTCAGGTCTCTCTCTCAGGTCTCTCTCAGGTCACTCTCTCATTGGTCTCTCTCAGTTCTCTCTCTCGGGTCTCTCTCAGGTCACTCTCGCATTGGTCTCTCTCAGTTCTCTCTCTCAGGTCTCTCTCAGGTCACTCTCTCATTGGTCTCTCTCAGGTCTCTCTCTCATTGGTCTCTCTCAGGTCTCTCTCAGTTCTCTCTCTCATTGGTCTCTCTCAGTTCTCTCTCTCATTGGTCTCTCTCAGGTCTCTCTCATTGGTCTCTCTCAGGTCTCTCTCTCATTGGTCTCTCTCTCAGGTCTATCTCAGGTCTCTCTCAGGTCTCTCATGGCTCTCTTTCATTAGTTTCTCTCTCATTGGTCTTGCTTAGGTCTCTCTCTCTCATTGGTCTCTCTCTGCTCTCTCATTGCTCTCACTCTGGTCTCTCTCTCATTACCGTCTCTGCTCTCTCTCAGGTCTCTGGTTGACATCTTGAGGCACCAGTCCAGTCCTGTTCAGCCCGGAGAGAGGAACAACACACTCCTCAGCAGCGGCACGGCACCAGACGGACGCACAACCAAGAACATGTACACACCTGTCCTACCGAGCAAAGACAACCGCAGTGAGTCCAGTTACACAATAAAACAGGAGATAAACCTAAATCGGGTCTCTCTCTGGACTCTCTTTCTCTTTATTCTCTCCGTCTCTCTGGTCTCTCACTGAAATGTATCCGTCTGGTCTATCTCTCTATCTCTGTCTCTCTCTTTGGCCGTTCTCTCTGGTCTCTCTAATCTCTCACTGGTCTTTCTCTCTATGGTCTCTCTCTCTCTGGTCTCTCTGGTCTTTCTCTCTTTTGTGTCTATTTCTGGTCTCTCCCTCTTTGGTCCCTTTCTAATCTCTCACCGGTCTTTCTCTCTCTGGTCTTTCTGGTCCTTCTCTCTTTTGAGTCTATCTCTGGTCTCTCCCTCTCTCTGCTCTTTCTCTGGTCTCTCCCTCTTTGGTCTCTTTCTAATCCCTCACTGGTCTTTCTCTCTCTCTGATCTCTCTCTCTCTGGTCTCTGGTCTTTCTCTCTTTTGTGTCTATATCTGATCTCTCCCTCTCTCTCTGCTCTTTCTCTGGTCTCTTTCTAATCTCTCACCGATTTTTCTCTCTCTGGTCTCTCTCTCTGGTATCTCTGGTCTCTCCTTCTTTGGTTTCTGTCTAGTCTCTTTCTAGTCTCTCACTGGTCTTTCTCTCTCTGGTCTCTCTCTCTGGTCTTTCTCTCTCTGGTCTCTCTCTCTGGTCTTTCTCTCTGGTCCCTCTGGTCTTTCTCTCTTTTGTCTCTATCTCTGGTCTCTCTCACTGGTGTCTCTCTCTCTCTCTCTCTCTAATAATTATGAGTCCATTCACACAGTCACATCTCACTCTTCTTCTTTGATCTTCTGTATTTTTCATAAACATCACATGTATTCAGAGTCCAGTGACCATCGTTCTCTGGTAGAGATCGTTCCTCGATACCAGAAAAGCAGACAGAATTCTTTCACTGGCTCCACATCCCGACGGAGGCGATGCTAATTGTCGCCTTGTACAGTTTCGCTCTCTGCCTCGCACTCACAACAAACACATCCCACCTCGGGCGCCAGGTCTGCTGCCAGGGCCTCGCGTTGCCAGATAAGACGAGGGGATTCTCAGAGGACCATGTTGCACTGGATCTAATTATGGCCCGTGTCTCTGGAAACTGGATCTTTGTTTAGAGGCTTTGGTCTCGCTCTCTTCACAGTAATTACTACAGTTAATAATGTCTCTCACTGGTTTTTAACGAATGATTAAAGCCCTGTTTCCACCAGCCCTGCTCTACTCTACTCTACTCTACTCTACTCTACTCTACTCTACTCTACTCTACTCTACTCTACTCTACTCTACTCTACTCTACTCCACCCTACTCTACTCTACTCTACTCTACTCTTATCTACTCTACTCCACTCTGCCCTGCTCTACTCCACTCTGCTCTGCTCTACTCCACCCTACTCTACTGTACTCCACCCTACTCTACTCTACTCTACTCTACTCTCCCCTGATTGGGAGTGTTTCCTCTGGTCCTGTGTAACCAGTACCAGGTCCTTCTTTAGTCCCTCTTGGTCCTGGTTCTATCCAGACTGAGCTGGTACTAGGGATTTCTAACTGACAGGGATTGGCCAGAGTGCTGCTGGAAGCCATGGTTACCAAGGAATTTCCTCGGATACTGGTTTGTTGTGGGTATATGGAAACACAAGCAGGTAGAGTAGAGCCGAGTCGGGCCGGTGGAAAACCATTGAAATCGAATGTATGTTTTTGAACTGTTATAGATGTGCTTTTTGTTTGAGTTTCTGAACTGAAATCAAGTTGCTTCTTTGGTCCATTTTTCTTACGCCAATGTTACAACGTATTGTTTTCAGCTTCTGTCTCCTCTCTCTGCTCTGTCCTCTCTCAAGCCGTACGCACGACTCTGGTTCATGTCATGTGTATTTCTAAACCAGGTGTGTAAAACTGGTCCTCAAAGGGCTGGTGTGGCTGCAGGTTTTCATTCTAACCAAGCAGGAGCACACCAGATTCCACCCATTTCCTCATGTGAGTCCAGTCCTACACTTGCGGACTTGAGGAAATTGGAATTTGGTGTCTCTCCGGTATCTCTCGTTGGTCCCTCGGCCTGGGGTCTCTCTGTTGTCTCTCTGGTCTCCCTCTGGTCCCCCTCTGGTCTCTCTCTCTCTTTGGTGTCTCTCTGTTCTATCTCTCTCTGGTCTCTGCACGGTTTTTTTCTCTCTCTCTAGTTGGAATCAAACCCTACTTCCACACTGGCCTTTTCTGAAACCAGTTGGACTCACATTCTCCTGTACCAACTTCTACTCATAAAGTAGTGGAGTACATTATTTTTTTTTATAAAAATGAAATGGAATCACCAAAGAAACACTGATGTTCACTCTGTGTCCGTGGTCAGAGAAGTTGGAAAGAACTTATTCAAACATTTATGAAAAATGTTGTTTAAAGTCCAGCCATTATCGCACTGGTCTTGTTTAAGAGTCCTGCATACGGCCTGCTCTCTCATTCTCTGGCCTCCCTCTCTCCTGTTCTCTCTCTCCTGTTCTCTCTATCCTGGGCTCTCTCTCCTGTCCTCTCTCCTATGTCTCTCCTCTGTCTCTCCTCTCTCTCTCTCTCTCTCTTTCTCTCTCCTGTACTCTCTCTCTCATCTTCTCTGTCTCTCCTTTCTCTCTCTCCTGTCCTCTCTCTCCCCTCTCTCTTCTGTCCTTTCCAAACTTCTGCCTCTGTCTCTGGAGTCTTGTGCTTCAGTTTGTCGGCTCTGTTTTCTCCGCAGCTGGGACTTTGCCTCACTCTTTTCCCCAGCAGGGGGCGCCCTCCAGCCCCAAACACACAGCCACCATCGGTAAGCCTCACGGCGGAGGCACGGTTTGGGGGCTGGACCACTGTCCTCTCACGGACGTCTGAATTCTGCTGTGTTGCCGAGCCAGGAACCAATCACCTCATGATAATGTGCCTTCAATACATGTTAAGGACCACATATCCAAACATACGCTTTTAGTCAATTCCTCATGACCAACGTCCCATCTCCACCGTTTTTACAAAGAAGTTGATTTGCCAACAACAGATCAGAGAATCAAACGATAAATGGAATAATAACAAACACATGAGAGCCATTGGTCCAAAAGGAGCGGGATGACCACTGTCCAGAAATGTTAGTGAATGTCCCGGATCAACCCTGTCCTTAGACCCTGATGCATCAGAGAGGAACCACTCAAAAACAACAACAAAACAGTGGGAGAATGTGAGAAACCAACAGACAGGCTGCAGATCCAGGACTGAGGCTGTAGATCCAGAAAAATCTGAAACTCTGCTTCCCCATGTTTAGTCCTGACTCTAGGATCAGCAGGAGGCCAGTCCCTGTGCTCCTCAGAGTCCCAGCAGGAGGCCAGTCCCTGTGCTCCTCAGAGTCCCAGCAGGAGGCCAGTCCCTGTGCTCCTCAGAGTCCCAGCAGGAGGCTAGTCCCTGTGCTCCTCAGAGTCCCAGCAGGAGGCCAGTCCCTGTGCTCCTCAGAGTCCCAGCCGGAGGCCAGTCCCTGTGCTCCTCAGAGTCCCAGCAGGAGGCTAGTTCCTGTGCTCCTCAGAGTCCCAGCAGGAGGCCAGTCCCCTGTGCTCCTCAGAGTCCCAGCAGGAGTCTAGTCCCTGTGCTCCTCAGAGTCCCAGCAGGAGGCTAGTCCCTGTGCTCCTCAGAGTCCCAGCAGGAGGCCAGTCCCTGTGCTCCTCAGAGTCTCAGCAGGAGGCCAGTAACAAATATAGCAACTTTATAAGACTTTAATCTTACAACTGGGAGAACATGCAAACCCATACACACACATACATTAACACATACAGACTGTCGTTGGTGGTCCGGTTCTTTAGCTGGACGTCCTCATGAGGTGATTGGCTGTGGTGTTTCTGGTGCTTGTGGTCAGCCTCACAGCAGAAGGGTCCTCAGCTCCATGCCTGTGTATGTGTTGGCCTGTCCCTCACTGCTCTGTCCACTGATCCAAGCACATGTGGTTCTCTTTATGTGTTTGTGTTGCGTGGGACTGTCCCGCACGGCTTCAGAGCGGCCTGTCCTCTGTCCTGTGTGTGCTCACTGCTGCCCCCTGCGCGGTACTGCACCACACACAACAAGCAATGCTCGCCGCAACAACAGGGGGAGGCAACAATAATGAACTATGCAATTCTATACAACCTCCAACTCTCTGGCTCCTTTTGGCTTCTTATGTAAAAGTAAACTCCTCTAGCTCAGTAACTGTTTGTGTCACACTCACCATTTAAATACCTGGTTTATTGCTCTCTGTCATCCTGGTGTTTAAACTGTGATATTGTCTTTGTAAATCCAGATATGAGCCATATAAGGATTGTCCAATCAGAGGCCTTCATTTGCAGGAGAAACTCGAGCTTGCCTTAGTAACTGTCTTAACATGGAAATTTTATATTACCTGGATAGAGTAATGCTAGCTTAAACCCATCTCCACATGGACAAGCGGTCTCTGGTCTCTCTCTCTGTAGTGCCTCTCTGGTCTCTCTCGTGGGTCTCTCTCTCTGGTCTCTCTTGCTTACTCTCGGTCTTTCTCGGTCTCGCTTTCTAGTCCCTCTCTCTGTTTTCTCTTTCTAGTGCTTCTCTCTGGTCTTTCTCTCTTTGGTCTATATCTGGTCTCTCTCTCTAGTCTCTCTCTGGTCTCGCTCTATCTAGTCCTCCCTCTGTTCTCTTTTTTTTTGTCTCTCTCTCTCTCTGTTCTCTCTGTGTTCATTGGTCTCTCTTTTTGGCCTCTCTGTGGTCTGTGGCCTTTCACTGGTCTCTTTCTCTCTCTGGTCCCTCGTGTCTCTCTCTGGTCTGTGGTCTCTCTCTGTCGTCTTTCACTGCTCTCTCTCTCTCTCTGGTCTGTGGTCTCTTTCTCTCTGAAAACCTTGGGGTTTTGGGACCTCCCTCCCCCACATTAACACTTCACATCTGCCTCGTGTTTCTTAAGACCTCGTCGATGTCCATAAACATTAGATTCTTCTCCTGTGAACCTCCAGACCCTGTATTCGAGCCGCAGCATTGCTTCTGTGTGTGTGAGATGCACATTCATCCCTGAGTGACACTAACAGAGACATTACTGAACATAATGGACCATTACTGTCAATGGTCAATGGTCAGTACATGTGCAGCAGTCGAGACCATCGGCACCTGAGCCACCATTTGTCCCAGAGCCATGATAAGCACTGTTTGAGTCTCTAATGTCTAAAAGAGTCCCTCTTTAAGCACCGTTGAGTCTCTAAGGTCGAAGAGTCCATCTATAAGCACTGTTGAGTCTCTAAGGTCGAAGAGTCCATCGGCAAGCGCTGTTTAGTCCCCAAGGTCTAAGAGAGTCCATCTTTAAGCACTGTTGAGTCACCAAGGTCTAAGAGAGTCCATCGGTAAGCGCTGTTGAGTCTTTAAGGCCTAAGTGAGTAAATCTAGAAACCCTGTTTAGTCCCCAAGGTCTAAGAGAGTCCATCTTTAAGCACTGTTGGGTCCCCGAGGTCTAAGAGAGTCCATCGGTAAGCAGTGTTGAGTCTATTAAGGTCTAAGAGAGTCCATATATAAGCACTGTTGAATCTATAAAGGTCCAAGAGAGTCCATCGGTAAGTGCTGTTGAGTCTCTAAGGTCGAAGAGTCCATCGGCAAGCGCTGTTGAGTCCCCAAGTTCTAATTGAGTCCATTGAGAACAAGGGTCTCAAACTTATTGCTTGGAAGCCACCAGTAGCTCGCCAACCCTTTTCCATGTAGCTTCCCATAGGATTTAGAACAGAAAAATATTTAGAACAATTTGACATTACAAAGCTCTCGAATATGCCCTTTTTTGAGCACTAAAATATGATATTAGAAAGCTGTCTGTGCAAATAAAGGGAGACTGCTAAAGATGCCCAAACAGTCAAGTCAGACATGGCTAAACTTTTTATTAAGATGCGTGTATGTAATGTGATAAAGACTAAAGCTGCTTGTCCAATAAAATGCTATTTTGTTTTAAGGCCTTGCTTACTTCAACATGTCGGCTTTTTCTCACCTGCTGAAAGGAACAGTAGTAGCTCTCCTGCAGGAAAAGGTTGGAGAGCCCTGATCTAGAAGCACTGTTCTAGTCTCTGAAATCCAAGAGAGTCCATCTAGAACAGGGCTGTCAAAGCCATTTTGGACAGGGGCCAAATTTAACAAAAAACATGGTAGCTGTTTGTGGCCAGAAGGATAAAAGTCTCTTGACAAACTAATTGTGTTTGACATACATTTGGATATTTTTTATCTAGTAGGTTTGAATTCCACCACATCTGGGCCAAACATCCATGAGAGAGTATTGGAAGACTGATAGTTTAAACAAATAAATGTAACTATAACTTCTAACTACATTTTAGTTCACATTTTTGAACATATTCAATGACATGGTTTTTTCCCTGAGACAATAAGCTTTATTATGAAAGACAACGTGCCATAGGCGTCCCTTATCATAAATGTTGCAATAAAGATAATTGCAAATCGTTTCAGGGGCTGCATTTGGCCCACGGGCCTGAGTTTGACATACCTGGTCTAGAAGTTCTGTTCAAGTCTCTATGGTCCCGAGAGAGTCCATCTCTGTAACATTGTGTCTGCTTTAGTACAGTTTCTGCGCTGCTAATGTCAATAATGAAGGAAAGGCAGAGCGAGAAGCTGATGTTCTTTTTGTTTTTTAAACTACAAATTGCTTAATAGCAGTGCTCTGCTCTGCTCTGCGAGTCCTTGCCGTTTCATATTTCTGGGAATCGAGTGTTTAGAACGAGCTCAGGACAGACGTGTTGGTCAGGTTCACTTTGACCGGACGAGGAAGTGTAAAGGGCTGGAAAGTCTCGCCCCAGAAGCACGTCTGGTTCTTTGCTCGGATACAAACAAACCCCCAGCTGTTCGCAGAGGCTGTTTAAGTGAATGGTGCAAAATGCTCTGCTTTGTTTTCGGCTGTAATCATCAACGTTTACGCGATGCATGCTCGTTTTTTTTAAAGACCAACTGAAGCTGTGGGAAAAGCTATGCAGTTCTGATACAATATGTTGTCTGATTTTACAGACGGTTAACTTGAATATGTTTTCAAGCTAACTTGTAGCTAATGCTAACCTGTAAATAGTGCGCGGCCGAGCCTTTAATTGTGGCTTGTTTTTTATTTATTTGAGAGATAAAGGAGGAACAATACATATAAAAAAAACATTTAACAAATGTTCAAATATAACAGAAAACGGAAAATCATAATATTAGTATTAAATGAACAGGAAAAAGGAAAAAGGCCCAATGTGAAGCTGTATGAGTGTGAAGTGGAGATGGAGCTAATGTACAGATAGAAAACTGATCGTTCATATACATTAGCATTTAACCAAAGCAGCAAAGACAGCTGTGGGACAACATCTTTTTATTTGCATGGGAATAGTGGTTCTATATTTTCTTTCTGATGCATAATAGTGGATTAAAAAATAATGAGTTTGAACACGGCCCTGCACCGTTCTCATCTCCCCGTCATATAGAAACATCAGGACATGGCCAGAGTTCACAGCTAATTCCGACCGCTCACTCAGTTTTTCTGTCCCAGAGACGAAATGTGTCCAAAACAACACAGAAAAATCCATTAAGGAGGAAGAAGTCGGTCGATCTCCGCACCACACAACTGGCACGTGTGGTTTGTTTGTATCTATAGGTGGAAATCTCCCAAAATCTCGCACTTCCGCTTTCCAGCCCTATAATCATAATCTTTAGTCTTTTAAAGAAGCAGGTGTAAATACTGTATATGGTGAACGAGATCCAGTGAGTCCTGAAATACATGGTACAGATTACAGTCTGTGAATAATTCAAGGACAGTTATAGTAAACTCAAACCGCCTGAGGCCAGAGAGACTAGAGAGAGTCCAGAGAGAGACTAGAAAGAGACCAGAGAGAGACTAACAAGAGTGAGACATACCAAGAAGAAAGACCAGAGAGAGAGAGAGAGAGACCAAAGAGAGAGATCAGAGAGAGACCAGAGAGAGACTAGAGAGAGAGAGACCAAAGAGAGACCAGAGAGAGATCAGAAAGAGAGATACCAAAGAGAGAGACCAGAAAGAGAGATACCAATGAGAGGGACCAGAAAGAGAGAGAGAGAGACCACAGAGAGAGACACCAAAGAGAGAGACCACAGAGACCTGAAAGAGAAATATCAGCAAAAGACCAGAGAGAGAGACCAGAGAGAAAGAGACAGAGACCAGAGAGACCAAAGAGACCAATAACAATGCAAACAGTAGGTAAAAACCGTGTGTGTTTGAAAAAATACAGGAGATTACTCTTCAAATGACAGATACATTCCCACAGGACTCGGGTCTTAGGCATCCTCAGCAATTATCACAGATCCCCAAAGGTCCTGAGGCAATAATGATCCTGTCGGGCTTTACTGCGTTTAGAGTCCGGAGAGAGTCCAGCATGAGAAACTAGAGAGAGAGAGACCAAAGAAAGACACCAGAGAGAGAGAGAGCAGTGAGAGAGACTATAGAGATGGACCAGAGAGAGAGAGAGCAGTGAGAGAGACTATAGAGATGGACCAGAGAGAGAGAGAGCAGTGTGAGAGACTATAGAGATGGACCAAAGAAAGAGACCAGAGAGAGAGAGAGCAGTGAGAGAGACTATAGAGATGGACCAAAGAAAGAGACCAGAGAGTGACCAGAGTGAGATCAGAGAGAGACCCAAGAGGGACCAGAGAGAGAGAGGAGATCAGAGAGAGACTGAAGAGAGACCAGAGAGAAAGAGGAGATCGGTCCGAGAGCAAAGAGAGATCAGGGAGAGACCAGAGAGAGACCAGAGAGAGAAGAGGCCAGAGAGAGACCAGCGAGAGACCAGAGAGAGACCAGTGAGAGAAAGAGAGGAGACCAGCGAAAGATACTGATTCTGTGCATATAGTGCTTTAATTCTGTATGTTCCGTGTTGCGAGCACTGCCCCTCCCCCCTCTGCTGCTGCTGCTGTGTCTTACATAACGACAGTCTCTGTGTGAACCATGTGCCGTGGCTCAGTGTGCGCCGGAGCATCTCCAGAAACAGGAATCTGCTAAAGAATGTCCGGAACGTCGTCTCACTGGTTCAATTCAGAACAGGGATCATTGTAACAAGCCAGACTTTATATTTACAGTCTATGTCAGACTCAGGCCCACTCCAGCTCCCAGGACCATATTTGAAACAGTTACATTAAGTTGCAGCATGGATGGTACTAGGCTACGATGGCATGTTATACCTCATTTTGAAATCTAAGAAAAAAGCAACCATATAATTTAATTCATTCCGAAAGGTAAATCAATGCAAGTAAGTAAGTAAGTAAGCTTTATTTATATACCGCTTTTCACAGACCAGAGTCACAAAGCGGTTTACAATTGTTATTTTTTTTTGGGCACTTGTCCTCTCACTCCACACAGAGATGGGAGCAGGGTCGCCGAACAGGAGGCGCATGCCAGACCTATTGTACATATTTTTAGTGGTAGGGGAAACCGGAGTACCCGGAGGAAACCTACACAGACACGGGGAGAACATACAAACTCCACTCAGAAAGGCCCTGGTCCAGCCGGGATTCGAACCCAGGACCTTCTTGCTGAGAGGCGAGAGTGCTATCCACTCAGCCACCGTGCCGCCCTAAGATGCAATTTGCATCGGCATAAATCACAACAGTAGATATCTCTGAGTACTATACAACAGATCAGAGAATCAAACAGTTGAAACACAGGAAATACAGTGACAAAAACACACACATTGGTCCATAAGGGGCAGAGACCAATGACCATAACCTGGGTCCTGGGATCAAATCCCGGTCGGACCAGGGCCTTTCTGAGTGGAGTTTGCATGTTCTCCCCGTGTCTGCGTAGGTTTCCCCTACCACTAAAAACATGTACAATGTGCATGCGCCTCCTGTACTGGCGACCCCGCTCCCATCTCTGTGGAGTGAGAGGATAAATAACAATCGTAAAGAAGTAATATTACTTCTTAATGGTTGGTCCAGTTTTGGTTCAATCCAGAGCAACTGAACAAACCTAGTGATGTGAAACAAGTCATTTATAAAAATACTAGTACCATAGTACTAGTAGTACTATGAACTACTAGTGATACAGAAAGAGTCGCAAAAACCAAACAGGTGCCTACAGTGATTCAAAAACTATACTTGTGTTAAAGTCATCCTTCTCTCAAATAGCCATGTAAATAAATAATGCATTTACAAATATCCACAGCTTCATTCCCTTTCAAAGATCTGATAAGTTTCTTCATTTTTCCAATTAGGCCCCTGTCTAAAATGACCAGGATGTCTATGAGCATGTCCCTGCTATTGAACCTCTGAGATCTCTTTCCGCCATATTCCTGCTTCTTGTGATCCGCCTGTCTGTCAGCCTGATGCTGTCTCTGTATTTCTCTGTTTTTTGAATGTGACCTTTACGTATAACAATCCAAACCCCAGAAAAACCCAACATTATGACCTGTATCTCTCTCAGGTGTCCATGGCGATGCGAGTCACTTCCTGGTTTGGTACTCGCTAACTGCTTCTGTTTCCTGCTTTTAGAGCGCGGCCCACGGATGAACAACTCTGCGCAGCTGCCTCCCGGCTCGGGCATATTGTCGGGCAGCATTAAGGGTCCTGGCCCCAGCGGCATCATGGGAAGTGGGAGCACGAGGCACAACAGCAGCCACCCGTCCTTCTCCCACTCCTTCCACAACCTGGCCCAGCTGCCGCCCTCCTACGACGCCGCGGTGAAGCCGGAGATTAGCCGCTACAGCTCCCTCAAGAGGCTGGGTGAGTCCTAGAGCAGGGGACATAAAGCACGTAGCACTTTACTTAATGACGAGGGTCTGTCTGCTCGTTTAGAGGCCCCCAGAGTCTGTGGTCTCTGGACAATTCTCTGTTAATTAACTATTAGAGCTCTTTGACGTTTTAGAGGTCTTTGCTCTTCTTTCAAAAATGCTGTAGATCCAGGACTGAGGCTGTAGATCCAGGACTGAGGCTGTAGATCCAGGACTGAGGCTGTAGATCCAGGACTGAGGCTGTAGACCCAGGACTGAGGTTGTAGATCCAGGACTGAGGCTGTAGACCCAGGACTGAGGTTGTAGATCCAGGACTGAGGCTGTAGATCCAGGACTGAGGCTGTAGACCCAGGACTGAGGTTGTAGATCCAGGACTGAGGCTGTAGACCCAGGACTGAGGTTGTAGATCCAGGACTGAGGCTGTAGATCCAGGACTGAGGTTGTAGATCCAGGACTGAGGCTGTAGATCCAGGACTGAGGCTGTAGATCCAGGACTGAGGCTGTAGATCCAGGACTGAGGCTGTAGATCCAGGACTGAGGCTGTAGACCCAGGACTGAGGTTGTAGATCCAGGACTGAGGCTGTAGATCCAGGACTGAGGCTGTAGATCCAGGACTGAGGCTGTAGACCCAGGACTGAGGCTGTAGATCCAGGACTGAGGCTGTAGATCCAGGACTGAGGCTGTAGATCCAGGACTGAGGCTGTAGACCCAGGACTGAGGCTGTAGATCCAGGACTGAGGCTGTAGACCCAGGACTGAGGCTGTAGACCCAGGACTGAGGCTGTAGACCCAGGACTGAGGCTGTAGACCCAGGACTGAGGCTGTAGACCCAGGACTGAGGCTGTAGACCCAGGACTGAGGCTGTAGACCCAGGACTGAGGCTGTAGACCCAGGACTGAGGCTGTTCCAAGGCCTTGTCTACTTTTGAACAAAAGGAGGAACAAAAGTGAGAGTTTATGGAAAACTAATCCATTTTAAAAGCAAACATGCACACCCAAAGCCAAACTTTGTCCCTGTCTCTGTCCCTGTCTCTGTCCCTGTCTCTGTCCCTGTCTCTGTCCCTGTCTCTGGCTCTGGCTCTGGCTCTGGCTCTGGCTCTGGCTCTGGCTCTGGCTCTGTCTCTGTCTCTGTCTCTCTCTGTTGCTGTCTCCGTCTCTCTCTGTCTGTCTCTCTGTCTCTCTGTCTCTCTCTCTCTCTTTCTCTGTCTCTGTCTCTTTCTCTCTCTGTCTCTGTGTCCCCTCTGTCACACCTGTCCTATGCACGTGTTTCCGACAGAGCTGCAGATTTGGACACACATCACTGGCTCTATGTGCGGTGGCCTTTACACAATGATTCTCCTCGAGCTATAACATCATTCTAATGTGTGTGTGTGTCTCCGTATGTGTGTCTGTGTGTTTATATGGTGGGGGAAATGTATGCATATTTATCATGTGCCTGCTGATGCTTACGCTAGCGCAGAAATGTGCAATTTCACTGTCCAGTTTTGTCACAGTCTCCCGCTGTTTTACTTTCCCTGTTGTGGGACGAATACATGTATCTTTCCTTCGTTCGAATTTCTATAGACACTCTCTTTCCCCGGGCTGTAGCGTCAACACGGGTCCAAACAACACGCCAACCTTTCCCATTGTTGTCCCAGGTCGACTACTTTTCCGCAAAAACAAATTCTTCCCTCCCGATCCCAAGCCAGACCGCTACCCTTTCACTCACTGCCCCAAACATGGCTCCTATATCTTCCTGCCTCAGTCCTGTTCAGTTTAGTTTCGTCTTCACCTGTTTTGTTGTTGTTGTTTTTAGTTGTTTTTTGTCCAAAGCTCCCAGATCCGCAGCTTGCTAACTCCTCTCGGCAGTGGCTCCTGCGCAGGCCATTAATAAAACAGAGGAGCAGAGGGACGTGACAGGACTGACAACCACAATGCGGCTGTCGGCGAGAGGCCACGCCAGGATACGGAGGCCAAAATAATACATATCTGGACATGGAGAGAGGGCAGTGGAGGGAAGGTGGACCTGCTGAGGGGGGAGAGAGGGAGAGAGAGAGGGGGGAGGCAGTGGTTGTGTGTTTCTCTGCAGGGAATCAGAAAAAGAATCTCTCTCTCTCTCTCTCTGTTGTCTTTTGTCTTCACCGCCATGTCCACTGCGTATGAAGCTAATGCTACAACCACGGCTAATGAGCAGAAGGCCGAGTAGAGATGCAGCGAAACGTAATTATTATTATTATTTCAATCTGGTCAAAAACAGACAGGATACAGCGGTGAGGAGGAGGAGGTGGAGGAAGAGGAGGCAGTGGTTACGTCATAGGTCAATGCAGTGTGCTGTGGTTCTATCCAGGAGAAAACAGAACGCATGTTTATATCTGATTGATTGATACGGGAGTGAGACTGTAGATCCAGGACTGAGGCCGTAGATCCAGGACTGAGGCCGTAGATCCAGGACTGAGGCCGTAGATCCAGGACTGAGGCTGTAGATCCAGGACTGAGGCTGTAGATCCAGGACTGAGGCTGTAGATCCAGGGCTGAGGCTGTAGATCCAGGGCTGAGGCTGTAGATCCAGGGCTGAGGCTGTAGATCCAGGACTGAGGCCGTAGATCCAGGACTGAGGCCGTAGATCCAGGACTGAGGCCGTAGATCCAGGACTGAGGCTGTAGATCCAGGACTGAGGCTATAGACCCAGGGCTGAGGCCGTAAATCCAGGGCTGAGGCTGTAGATCCAGGACTAAGGCTGTAGATCCAGGACTAAGGCTGTAGATCCAGGACTGAGGCTGTAGATCCAGGACTGAGGTTGTAGATCCAGGACTAAGGCTGTAGATCCAGGGCTGAGGCTGTAGATCCAGGACTAAGGCTGTAGATCCAGGACTGAGGCTGTAGATCCAGGACTGAGGTTGTAGATCCAGGACTGAGGCCGAAGATCCAGGGCTGAGGCTGTAGATCCAGGGCTGAGGCTGTAGATCCAGGGCTGAGGCTGTAGATCCAGGACTGAGGCTGTAGATCCAGGACTGAGGCTGTAGATCCAGGACTGAGGCTGTAGATCCAGGGCTGAGGCTATTAGCTGGACCTAGAGGAGTAATAGGTCTGCACTGTGATTTTGGACTTGTTCCAATGCATTAAATTGAGTATAAACTGGGAATGCTCACACATACTGTTACATTCAGAGGTCTGGGAGTGTGCAGCGTGTGTCGAATATGAACTGAGCATAAAAAGCCGACGCGTAAAAGCTGCTGCAAGCTTCCTGTGTGCTTGCATTGTTTCCATAGCAACTGGCGCACTCCACCAGAGCCGAAAGTGGGAATAAAGTCATGTTGAATTAATTAAGCCTGTGTCTAAAGAGGCACAGTGCAGAGCCGAGGCTGGGGAAGCAAATCTGTGGTGTGCAGAATAATGCGTCTCTCTTTTTAAAGGAGACATGACACGATATATCTACTCCACATATGTTTGAACACTTATAGACACTTATCTGCTTAAGTCTGTGCTGCTTTATGTGGATGTGTTGCCTTGTGTTTGAACTGTGCTATACTAATAAACTTCCCTTGCTTTGAATCAGCAGCAAGAGAACCCACTGTGTGTGTATGTTACGGCCATTTTATCAAGCACCAATCAGTTAAATGTATTTGTATCGCCCTAAATCATCCCCGGAGGACTTTATAAAGTTGTGGATTCGCCAAAAGCAGCCCAGAGTATCAGTTGGAACACAGGAAATACAATAATAACGAATACAAAGGAGCCATTGGTCCATAAGGAGAGGGATGACCACAGTCCAGAAACTTTAATAAATGAACCACCTCTGTTCATTTACCCTCCTGCACCAGAGAGGAACCATTAAAAACTCAAAACTCATTTGGCCATATTGAGAGAGGGATCCACTCCCACAGATGGACAGGACTGTAGATCTTGGACTGAGGCTGTAGATCCAGGACTGAGGCTGTAGATCCAGGACTGAGGCTGTAGATCCCGGACTGAGACTGTAAATTCAGGAGTGAGGCTGAAGATCCAGGACTGAGGCTGTAGATCCAGGGCTGAGGCTGTAGATCCAGGGCTGAGGCTGTAGATCCAGGACTGATGCTGTAGATCCAGGACTGAGGCTGTAGATCCAGGACTGAGGCTGTAGAGCCAGGACTGAGGCTGTAGATCCAGGACTGAGGCTGTAGAACCAGGACTGAGGCTGTAGATCCAGGACTGAGGCTGTAGATCCCGGACAGAGGCTGTAGATCCCGGACTGAGGCTGTAGATCCAGGACTGAGACTGTAGATCCAGGACTGAGGCTGTAGATCCCGGACAGAGGCTGTAGATCCCGGACTGAGACTGTAGATCCAGGACTGAGGCTGTAGATCCAGGACTGAGGCTGTAGATCCAGGACTGAGACTGTAGATCCAGGACTGAGACTGTAGATCCAGGACTGAGGCTGTAGATCCAGGACTGAGGCTGTAGATCCAGGACTGAGGCTGTAGATCCAAGACTGAGGCTGTAGATCCAGGACTGAGGCTGTAGATCCAGGACTGAGGCTGTAGATCCAGGACTGAGGCTGTAGATCCAAGACTGAGGCTGTAGATCCAGGACTGAGACTGTAGATCCAGGACTGAGGCTGTAGATCTAGGACTGAGGCTGTAGATCCAGGACTTGCTGCTTGTTGGTATGAAAACGTGTAGCTGCAGAGGCAGAGAGAGAAAGACAGAGACAGACAGTGAAAACCTGTAGCTACACCGACCCTTTGAGGACCAAGTTGAAAACCCCTGGTCTCATAAAGTAGTGTGTCGTTGTGTAGTTGTGTGAACCCGTCCTCTTCGTTAACAGTTCTGTCACAGAGGAGGCAGGAGGTGGCGCTAAAGGTCGCCTTCACAACCGGTCGGATGGAGTGGTAATGCTTTGAGGATTAAAACCTCTGCAGAGCAAGAGAAGCAACAGAAACATTCCACTTTTAATGAAGCTTGTTATGATGCTCGGTGCACACAGTGAGGCCCGGAGGCACTGCTCCTCCTCTGACTCTGACTCATGCACTTTATGCAAAACGGCCTCAGAAAACACACCGCACCAGGAAAACTATAATGGCCCCTGTTTTCCTCTGCTCTGATGTTCAACAGTTAAAGCTGCTGAACCAAACTCTCAAACCACAACATTTGTACGTTTCATGCACAAAGCAACACAAAACAAGAAATCATGATCACAGCATTAAACAGAGTAAAGATACAATCCTTCAGTTGGACTTGCAGCGAAACTCAACTGTCTTTAACCTGCATTTGAAAATAGTCGGAGAAGAAGAGCGTGGATAGCACTCTCCCTTCTCAGCAAGTAGGTCCTGGGTTTGAATTTTGGTCGGAACAGGGCCTTTCTGAGTGGAGTTTGCATGTTCTTCCCGCATTTGCGTCGGTTTCCTCCGGGCGCTCCGGTTTCCCCTACCACTAAAATACATTTACAATAGATATGAATGTATTGAGTGGATGAATGGATGGTGTTGGTTGCGCCAGTGTGTCTCGCTTCCATCATCACTGTACGGAGAGAATAAAACAATTTCTGAAGTCTGAACATTGTAAAGTGATTACAATGTCAAAAATGAAGTGACCTTGATCTGTAAAAATGCGCTATATAATTAAAGATGACTTACTTACATTATGCTGCCTCCCCATGTGTAGTCCTGACTCTGGGACCAGCAGGAGACCACTCCCTGTGCTCCTCAGAGTCCCAGCAGGAGGCCAGTCCCTGTGCTCTTCAGAGTCCCAGCAGGAGGCCAGTCCCTGTGCTCCTCAGAGTCCCAGCAGGAGGCCAGTCCCTGTGCTCCTCAGAGTCCCAGCAGGAGGCCAGTCCCTGTGCTCCTCTGAGTCCCAGCAGGAGGCCAGTCCCTGTGCTCTTCAGAGTCGCAGCAGGAGGCCAGTCCCTGTGCTCCTCAGAGTCCCAGCAGGAGGCCAGTCCCTGTGCTCCTCAGAGTCCCAGCAGGAGGCCAGTCCCTGTGCTCCTCAGAGTCCCAGCAGGAGGCCAGTCCCTGTGCTCCTCAGAGTCCCAGCAGGAGGCCAGTCCCTGTGCTCCTCAGAGTCCCAGCAGGAGGCCAGTCCCTGTGCTCCTCAGAGTCCCAGCAGGAGGCCAGTCCCTGTGCTCCTCAGAGTCCCAGCAGGAGGCCAGTCCCTGTGCTCCTCAGAGTCCCAGCAGGAGGCCAGTCCCTGTGCTCTTCAGAGTCCCAGCAGAAGGCCAGTCCCTGTGCTCCTCAGTCCCAGCAGAAGGCCAGTCCCTGTGCTCCTCAGTCCCAGCAGAAGGCCAGTCCCTGTGCTCCTCAGTCCCAGCAGAAGGCCAGTCCCTGTGCTCCTCAGTCCCAGCAGAAGGCCAGTCCCTGTGCTCCTCAGTCCCAGCAGAAGGCCAGTCCCTGTGCTCACCAGTACCAGCAGGGGACTCTGGTTCATATGGCACTAACATGTGACAGATGTACTTTGGTGCGAGGCCAGGGAGAGACTTGTTTTTAAGGTCTATTCTCTGAGCCACAGGAAGCGGAGACTTGAGACCAGGGCTAATATCATGGTACTTCCTGGTTCTAGTCAGTTGCGATCTGTTCTTATTTCCCTCTCTTACCAACAGATGTGTGTGTACTTTCTACCAACAAAGCACTTTCACATTGTAAAACCTGAGAGTAAATATTTGTAATCGTGTTTCAAAGACCGAACGCTACTATTGCATCCACTTTTGTTTCCGCATGTGTTTTATCTCTAGTGTTTCTGACACACACACTGTATGTTTGTCCCACAGAGAAAGAGTTTGACGAGTACTCCAGTTACCACTCGTCCAAGCGCCGACAGAACAACGCTCCTCCGTCGTTCCACTCGTCGCAGCACCACCTGCCCTGGGGCGGCGACTACACGCTGGGCTCCAGGGGGACTCTGCCTCTGCACGGGTCCAGACCGCGGCTGCACATCCCGGCCTCCACCCCCAACCCCTACCCCCTGCCCTCCCAGAGCCAGTACACCAGCTCCAGCTTCGACAGGCCCCCGCGACGTGTGCGATCCCAGGACCAGCTGCTGGCGCTGGGGGAAGGAAACACACTGTCCCGCCTCTCCAAGAACCAGCAGCACCAGTACTATAAAGCCATGATGAGCACCAGCCGCAGCGCCAACTCACAGACACTGCGCAGGTGAGAGAGAGAGAGAGGGAGAGAGAGAGAGAGAGACAGAGAGAGAGAGAGAGAGAGAGAGAGAGAGAGAGAGAGAGAGGGAGAGAGAGAGAGGGAGAGAGAGAGAGAGAGAGAGAGAGACAGAGAGAGAGTAGTTATTTGAAAAGCCAGGTGTACTGTATTTTTGTGCCGTAGAAAGGTTTACCGCTTCTTGAGCTATTTCTTTACCGATTAAAACACAATATGTTAAAGATTGTAGCTACAGGAATAGAAATGTTATGTTTTCAAATATGAGATATGTGTTTTTGTCCATTCAAAGGTTTCAAAAGCTTCAAATGTGTGTTTGTTTGAACCAAGCTGTAGGCTCTCTCTCAGCTGAGGTCCAGCTGTTTTCATGGAGTTCTATGGGACATTTGTCTGGGTAGCCTGCAGTACCACACTGACTAATGTGTCTCTGGCCTCCTGTGGCCATTTTGAGAAAGCCCATAGAGGCCAAAAGTGGAGGCACATTGGTTTGAACGGCAGACTACGTCTGTTAATATTCACAGTCTATGCTCTGGCCACATGACACATGTCTGTAGTCACATGACACATGTCTGTAGTCACATGACACATGTCTGTAGTCACATGACAAATGACTCTCTGGTCACATGACACATGTCTCTCTGGTCACATGACACATGTCTCTCTGGTCACATGACACATGTCTGTAGTCACATGACACATGTCTGTAGTCACATGACACATGTCTGTAGTCACATGACAAATGACTCTCTGGTCACATGACACATGTCTCTCTGGTCACATGACACATGTCTGTAGTCACATGACACATGTCTCTCAGGTCACATGACACATGTCTGTAGTCACATGACACATGTCTCTCTGGTCACATGACACATGTCTGTAGTCACATGACACATGTCTCTCAGGTCACATGACACATGTCTCTCTGGTCACATGACACATGTCTCTCTGGTCACATGACACATGTCTCTCTGGTCACATGACACATGTCTGTAGTCACATGACACATGTCTCTCTGGTCACATGACACATGTCTCTCAGGTCACATGACACATGTCTCTCAGGTCACATGACACATGTCTCTCTGGTCACATGACAAATGACTCTCTGGTCACATGACACATGTCTCTCTGGTCACATGACACATGTCTCTCAGGTCACATGACACATGTCTCTCTGGTCACATGACACATGTCTCTCTGGTCACATGACACATGTTTCTCTGGTCACATGACACATGTCTCTCTAGTCACATGACACATGTCTCTCTGGTCACATGACACATGTTTCTCTGGTCACATGACACATGTCTCTCTAGTCACATGACACATGTCTCTCTGGTGACATGACCCTTGTCTCTATGCAGGTCACATGACCCTTGTCTCTTTGGAGGTCACATGACCCTTGTCTCTGTGGAGGTCACATGACACATGTCTCTGTGCAGGTCACATGACCCTTGTCTCTATGCAGGTCACATGACCCTTGTCTCTGTGCAGGTCACATGACCCTTGTCTCTGTGCAGGTCACATGACCCTTGTCTCTATGCAGGTCACATGACCCTTGTCTCTATGCAGGTCACATGACCCTTGTCTCTATGCAGGTCACATGACCCTTGTCTCTGTGGAGGTCACATGACACATGTCTCTATGCAGGTCACATGACACATGTCTCTGTGCAGGTCCCATGAGCGGCTGCTGGTGTCCCCTGACCGCCTGGAGGAGCGCCTCATGTCAATGGGGGTGATGGGGGCTGAGCGCTCCATGGTCCCTACCATGGGGCGCCTGTCGCACCATCAGAAGGCTCAGTCTCAGCAGAACATCTGTGCGACGCCCTCCATGGACCGCCACCACATGATCAAGATGAACTCGCAGCCGTCCTCCGGTCATGAGCACGAGCGCGGCTCCAGCGCGCCCTCGCACTGGGACCCCTACAGCGGTTCCATGGGGCCCCCCAACGCCCGCCGCATGGCCTTTGCCAACAAGAGGCAGAACACCATCGAGCAGCTGCACTTCCTGCCGGGGGGAGGGCAGGGGCTGCGGACTGGCAGTAAGAACGAGGTCACTGTGTGAGCCCGCGGCATCATGGGAGATGTAGGCAGTACACAGAAGGATCTGGGCCTCAGTGCGGCCCCAGAGCTGCTCCAGGCCCCTGATGGTAACCTCTAACCCTCACCACGTGTAAAGTCACTGTATATTGGAAACAGAATATGAGCCATTCTTTCAAAGGGAAGACAGAAATGTCCATAAAAAAGCAAAAAATCGGCGGCTCCAGCTGCTGGGTCTCTGCTGTGACTTGATAAACCGGTCTCTGTTGAACTTGTCTCTGTGTCCTCTGTCCTCTGTCCTCAGAGCTCTACAGAGACACACGGTTCCAGTCTGTTTCAGTAAATGATTAAAATGAAGCTTTTGTATGAGAATCTCCCTGAGCCCTGTAGAAATATGTATACTGTTTGAATTTAGCAGCCAGTGTGACATCACTGCGATTAACCCTCTGCCAAAACATCTGGAACAGCCTCTGGGGGCGGGACTTCCAGATGTGAACACGAGGAGAGCCTTTGTACAGTGGTGTAAATCTGTGACATTGTGCTGTGTCTCTGAAGTAGAAGAATCATCTTCTCACTGGGTCAGGAGGGGGAGGGGGGCTTCACTAAGGGCTAAACCTGTCCCTGTGCTCTTCATGTGTCCTGTGTCACTGTGGGGGGCATGCTTGTGGAAACTCCATTCTCTTTGTTCTAAAAGTGAGAAAACAACCACGGACGCTCAGTGCAGTGTTTTTGTATCCTCGAAGATTGAACAGACTTTTGCGGCGTTTGGAATCTATGAACATGATTATTTATTTATTTATTTAATATTTATCGTGCCATACTTGTGTACTTGGCTGTGAGTTGGACCTTTCGGCTGTTCAGGCTGGACTTTACAGACGGTGAAGCAGAATCAGGGCTCTGTGTGAGAATAGTATAATGTGTCACTTCATGTCCACCAGGGGGCAGAGCAGAGCCAGCATGTGTCTGCACAGTTTTGATTATTAAAGGCAGTAGCAGCATTTTTTAGCAACTGTTTCAGCACATACCAGTAAGAACAACCTGCTTGGACAAAGAAAAACCTTACATCTGTTTAAGTTCAAATTGGCATCTTAAATGACTAGCTAGCAAGGGTCATATTAATTCCACATTCCTCGTTTCCTTTTAGTTTGTCTTAATGTATTGCGCCTTTAGAGCTAGCACAGTTCCTCGCCCTCGTAGTATATATTAAATTAGGAGAGGACAAAGTGTTAGCCTTAATGCACAAGAAGCTAATTTGAACATAAGCTAGCTCGAGCCGATTTCCTTATATGGGCATTGCTTCTGTTGGGTTCGCTTCATGCTCTTACAGAAGGAGACATGTTGCTAAGACAGTGACTAAAGTATGTAATGTGGCGCATATCTGGATTTACAAATACAATATCACAATATACACACCAGGATCAAATGTTTGGATTTACAAAAACAATATCACCAGGATCAAATTGGTGATTTTACTTTTACAGTGTGAGAGAAGTGGAGCTAAACTTGGGCTACGTCGAGCTAGCGGGTTAGCATTGTCCATGTATATACAGGCAAAGATTTCAAGCTAGTTTTCAAACAGATGCCCCTTGTTCTATCTACTGGTACGTGCGAATAATAAAGTCAAAAAGGTATGAGTTCCAGACCTTTATGATGTCAACTCAAAAAGGCCATTGGGATCGCCGTAAAAAAATCGACAAAAATAAATGCGTCACTAATTCTATTATTGGCCCCTGGTGGAAATGCCACTGTGTTCTACTGTTCATCCCACTCTTACTTTAGCATCATGTAAAGACCCTCTCCCCTGTCGCCCCCCTCACACCTGCATTCCCCTTCTCATTCTTTATTTGAAACCTGTGATTTTTAATGTATATTCCTGAGATTTTTGAGTATATTAAATCTTTCTAGTGGAATAATTCAAATAATATTAATAATACTATTTAAAAAAAAGATGTCTCTGTATCGTCCAGAACTAAAAGAGCAGATGCAACCAACTATTAAAGAGGAAACCGCATGTTGGTGACGTCAGAGGATGATGTCACGGTGTGTGCGTGTATCTGTTGTGTGTGTGCTCATTTCAGTTATTCACTAATACAACATATTATTTGGTTTTGTCTTTTGAAATTTAGCTATTTTTACACTTTCATATCAACTCACAGTGAAGCCAAAAACTACACTGCAAACAATGTTAAAATATGAGGTAATTTTTTTTTCTTAATCTTAATTTTTTCTAATTCCGACTGTGTTAAAACAAGATTTGCCAATGGGACAAAGCCATTTAGTCTTATTGCTTATTGTATTTTCTCATTCCAATTTAGACATTTCTTGTATATTTTTTAAAACAAGATCAATTTGCTTTGCCCCATTGCAAATCTTGTCCTAAGGCAGTGACAATGTGCACAAATTAAGATACATTTGACTAAAATTTCAGCAATTTTTGACTTGTTTTTCACCTAATTGTGCAGTGCAATTTTGAAATCTTGGGCTACATCCACCAAAGCAAACCATTTTAAGAAAAAGGCAGAAATCAAAGGGAAGTATTGTTACGTTTTGGAGTTAGTTTAGTCCTCTCCGTGTGTGTGTGTGTCAGTATTTACTTGTTTAAAAGTGCACTGTGTAACTCTGGCTTTAATACTATAATTACAAATATTTCACATGTTTCAATAACGTTTCGATTCTCCTGAGACCACAGGGCAAGAGGGGGCGTGGTCAGTCTGAGTGAGCTGTCAATCAGGCTGACCACGCCCATTCAGGAAGTAACATTAAGGTTAGGGTTAAGGGTGGGCCGGGGTTATTCTATGGGAATAGCTAGTTAAGTTTAGGCATTCCGCTTCCGTCACGTTTCCATATATGATCTAGTGCCGACCGTCACTGAGGCGGGTGACAGTTCTGAAGATGTTAACAAGGTCATACATCTTACCGTGTTTAAAAAAAAAACAAAAAACGCTGAAACATTTTATCCCAAGTAAAAATACCTTTTTGAATCAATACCAACCACTGTGTTCAATTGGTAGACTACAAGTTTATTAAACATCAACAGAACAGAGGCGCTAAGCTAACGTCTCTCTGACTCTGGGATCTGCTCTTATCTCTTTGAGTAAGTTTCAGTGAGTGTAAATCCACTGCTTGACCAGTCTCTCTCTCTCTCTCTCTCTGCTCTGATCTAACAAGTTCTCTACTAGTCTATCTGGCAAACTGAAAGTGACAACATTGCAGCAATGGTGGAAACTACTACCCAGAAAAGTTACATAGTGCACCTTTAAGTGGAGGCAAAAAAACACAAAGGAGTGAATCTTTGCTGTGATAAAGTCGCACCATAAGCCATAATGTAAATACTACTGTTTTTGACCAAGCCATGGACCCTGCAGAACACTGGAGATCTTTGCAGAACCAGTCAATACCATAGATTATGTGTTTATCATTTAGGATAACAGGGCTGAGGCTGTAGAACCACGATTGAGACTGTATAGATCCAGGACTGAGGCTTTAGGTCCAAGACTGATGCTAAAGATCCAGGACTGGTGTATGGATCCAGGACTGAAGCTTTAGGTCCAGGACTGATGCTAAAGATCCAGAACTGGTGTATGGATCCAGGACTGAGGCTGTAGATCCAGGACTGAGACTGTAGATCCAGGACTGAGGCTGAGATTTTATGCTGAAAACGACTAGCATTTTTAGATTAGACGCTGTAGCCCGAACAAAATATATTGAGTCTCTTATAACAAAATGAATAGTGACTTTTTGTCTAAACAGTTGTGAATGCTAGCATGTTTATGTTTATTTTGTGGAGACTATATTTTGGACAATGATGATTACAATCCAGGGAACTTTTAGAAATCTTATTGATGCCTAAATACCGGGCTGAATCCAAAATCAGTACAAAATTGCCTCCTTTCTTATCTTTCCGAGGCAAGAATTAGTGAATGTTGTGAATTTACGGAAAGAAAACTCAGAAAAACACAAAAGTGAAACAGATCATTATTGCATAAAATATCACAGTACTTCGCTCTGCAGTATTGATTTAATTGCACGCACAGAACATTGCGATACTGAACAGAATTGATTATTTTAGTAGGCTTTCAACTCATAATGTGAGGAGCATTAGAGTTTAGTTTATTACGGACAATGTAGAAATATTAAATAGATGGCTGCGCCAGATTTAGGAAAATGCTACGTTCCTTCCGCAGTCCTTGACAATACAATCATCAAACATATATATTATAATATACAATATAATTAACATTTAGCCGCAAATAGAAAATTTGCAAATAATTGGTATAACTTGCAATACAATGCTACAGTACAGTATTGAGCATTGTTTCAACATTGGGGCCCCTTTCCACCTTCTTACCCTGCATGTTGGGTCTAGCTCCGGCCCTGGATGGGGCTAAAATCTACTCCAAGTCTTCGTTAATCCTTCAAAATGGACCAACTTTGCATTGTATGTTATTTCTAAGGCCATTGATTTCAATGAAGGGTGGAAAGAAGATGAAGGAAGGAGGATATTTTTCTGATTTGGGATGCAGCCCACGAGCTCTGACTTCCTGCTAAGCTTTTATTCAGATCTTGTTGATGTCATTTGGATGCGTCCCGTTAAAACCTGTCTGTTTGTGTGACTGCTCCGCGTGTGAGACCAGTGGGAACAAGTACCATCTGCATACCTCAGCCTGTACCAGAAACTCACCATGTGTACAACCCTTTTGTTATTATTGGTGATCAAATATTTGCGTTTGTAGAAAATCATACTGTTGATAATTATAATAAAAATCTCACTAAAGCACCCGTCTGTCTTGTTTCACTTTCAAATATGTTTAGATCCAAGACTGAGACTGTAGATCTAGGACTGAGACTGTAGATCCAGGACTGAGGCTGTAGATCCAGGACTGAGACTGTAGATCCAGGACTGAGGCTGTAGATCCAGGACTGAGACTGTAGATTCAGGACTGAGGCTGTAGATCCAGGACTGAGGCTGTAGATCCAGGACTGAGACTGTAGATTCAGGACTGAGGCTGTAGATCCAGGACTGAG